CCATTCTTCTTTCATTTATCAGAGATTAGAACGCTTGTTATAATCTGAATTGCCACCATCATTTCAAGAACGTTTTAGAAATGCAAGCTAATGTTGAAAACAAATGGCTTGGTTCCTCTAAGTTCCAAACCACCTCAAATTAATTTTTCAAAAGATGCAAAACGTCAGTGCCAACTATCATAAATAGCCATACGATTATTTCATCCTCGTCAGATCGGGCAAGTCTATCTGCAATGAACTTTGCCTCTAATACTACGTTAGATGATAAGATTCTCCCCCTCACCTTCTCACCGAGCAAAAACATCATCTATATCACGCCACAGGAAGGTTTAAGACATAAAAAGCCTTGACGTTGAAGAAGTCTACCAACCCAGATAATATCACAGTAGTTATAGCGGAAGAACATCAACCCAGAGTTATTTGCCATCTTCGCAAAACTGTTTAAGTGCTTCCTGAAGGAGATAAGCTTCCCAAGTCTATGGAAGGTGTCCACTATGTTCTCTGCTTTAAGAATGCGGCTGAGTTCTCACTCCGCTCACAATATCAACCCAATAACTTCCTTAGTATCATCATGAATTTATTGGCGTCTATAATCAACAAGGTTGCTGAATACCAAAATGAAAAAGCTCCTATGGGAGAGCCAGTATCGATTTTACTCTGCTAAGTCCATATACATAACTTAACTGTCATTAGTCATAGAATCAATGAGGCACGACACTAAATTCATTATAATGACGGTCGCTTTAGACATATATATTTATTTGGTTAGCAAGGTCAAATTAATGTTTTTAAACTACACATTTCCCATGATTTCTCTCGAATGGTTATATCTGTTCGAAGCGTATCTTCACGTAAACAAATGACATCATATATTATGAAATAAGACTAAGTCCGACAATTATTTTTATATATTTTATCTTTATATGTTTTTGATAGATACAAATATTTAAGTAAATGCTCTGTTTATAATAAACAGTATTAACAACATTTAGCGGCCTGAATGTCCGAGAAATTTCATGCCTTCCAACATGGATTGTATCTTTATCCTACACGAAATAGTCGAATAGCCTGAGGAGCTATGCTATTTAGTTACCGAGGAAGCGTCTGGTTAACAAGATCATGGGAAATTTGTAGTTTTAAAAACAGTAATTTGACCTTGTTAACCAGACACTACCCCTCTCTCTCTCTCTCTCTCTCTGTCTATCACACTCTCCATAAATATATATATATATGTGTGTGTGTGTGTGTGTGTGTGTGTGTGTGTGTGTGTGTGTGTGTGTGTGCGTGTGTGTGTTTAGGCAGCAAATTCTCTTTAAATATGTCTGATTGAATAAATTACTGCTAATTTTTAACAACATTCGTTCATACTCATGAATAACCTTCCGTGTTGCTTATGTTAAAGGATGAGAGAAATGTTCTACAGCTTTTTAACTTCCTTTTATTTGCCAAGTACTTTCGATCTTCTTCTAAGGTCATTTTCAGAATTGCAAGTAGTACAAAAGTATATTTTGTTCTTTAGTATAAGTATTTATACAAAGTTTTGCGTTGTTATACATTACCGCTTTTTTTTCATTATGCTTTTAAATGCAAAACGGTTGACAATGTGCTGAGCGTTCATTAGAACGTAAAAAAAATTACCCGTTATAGAATTTTTTTTTCCTTTTATAATGTCATGATCATACGCGCATTAAAGTGTGAACAAAACTGTTCCTTTACAGGCATTTCAGAACATTACTGCAGTATTCATAGTTGATTATGCTCAGTGCCGCCGGCTTTAATTTACACGCACACATACACGTATATATATATATATACACACACACACACACACACACACACACACACACACACACATATATATATATATATATATATATATATATATATATATATATATATAAGCGTTTAGTATCGGAAGTTGCTAAAGTTTTCTCCAGCTATGGAATCTTTGAGTATTCACAATTACCAAATCCTTCATAACAGAGAGGTCCATTAAGGTCGTTGTTAACGGCCAGACATCTACTGAGTTTCTTGAATTGTGTCCTGAAAAGCTGAAATTATGTTCGGGAAATTTGTAGCTTCAGATGACTTTTTTAAAAATAATTTCTTGCTGGGAAAGAGTTGGAAAAAACTGAAATATCCAACTTGAAATATTTACCGTGGCAGGGTTAGGTTGTGTCTTGCTGACTTTTAAAAGGTCTCACGGTGAAAGTGATGAAAGAGTGAATATGTTGATTAGTTTCCGTACGTACGTGTATGTGTGGGTGAATATGTTTTCATAGCGTCCGCCAATAAAGGGTCGAAACGCGATTACTTAAGCAGCTACATTTTAGTAAGCGAGAGAAATCAAAAAGAGAAGAGAGAGAGAGAACGAACTTGTGTTTAGTATTTATAATCAACGTATATCACGTGATAGACTCCGGAGAATATTTTCGATTTTTGGTGGAAAAATTGTTTTGAATAACCTTGTACGAACGTAGGCGAGAACATGATTTTAATATTAACTGACTAATGAGAAGTGAGAAAAATATCAAGGCTCTGTGATCCACTTTTTGCACAGATTTGCACAAAAACTGACATTGATAGAAAAGTGGTAGCAGGATGCTAGATGTTCAGTTCTGCTTTTCTCCAATGTACCCTTCTCTTCCTACAATCTTTCTGCTTTATAATAACGATCTTCCTAGGAACCCGGTCAGAAGTCTAACGAACATCTATGCAGATGATAGATACAAAAGTTGATAGGAGTACCTCCAAAAATATACATGACAATAATCTGGCACTGATCTTTCCTTTGACCTAGCCCTGGTGACGTAATCGGGAAGGACCTGCTTGTAACATGGGTGTTCCATTGACGAGGTTATTTGCCTGGAACGTCTATTCGGATCAAGATCACCAAGCCTCAAGAACATACATCCGATCCATCCCTAAAGTTATTGGAAATTGGCCGTTACTTTCTACATTTGCTCCTGCTTTACTCTATCTTTATAAGAGCCAGATCAGTGCAAAAATATTTTTGCTGCAATATCTGCGCTGGTGATGCACAATCCTCACTTGTATATCATGAAAGAATTCAAATGACTCTAAGTGGTCTAGTGTGTGATGAATTATTTTCAAGCATACGAGCCCTTTCCTCAAACGAAACATCGCCAACGTCTCTCTTCTCTATCGATACATTCATACTAATTATTCTGGCGAGTTAAATTCTTTAGTTCCTGACCTGTCAGGTCAAGTACATTGGGGTGAATCATCCTCATTTTCTTCTAGTATTATTATTCCACTAGTACGAATGATGTTCCACTCAGTTAGCTTTTTCACAAAGACTGCTAACTGCTGCAAAAGATGACTTGTTGATTTAAATGCCTCCAAAACTAAACTTCTCCTCATTGATTATCTGAGAGACCCTTTCTGCCTTCCATCAACTTGGCTGATGCTAACCTCCAGGAAATTGACTCGTCGCTTCTTTTTGAGCTAACGTTTTCAGCTGATAGGAAGTGGAAAATCTATACTGAATTCATTGCTATGTCAGCTTCTAAGAAATTTGGATCATACTTATTTATAGGGTTAGTCCGTAATTATCAGGCCTTTTTAAAAAATATTTATTATGAAAAAAGAAACATAAAAACTCAACAATAACATATTTAAATGAGTATGATTATCGACGCACATCATTATAACCTGAAAATAAAATAATATTTTTATTAAAAATGTAAAGAATACAGCAATTGTATTAACAAATAACACGCCAACAAAAACGCCTGATAATTATGCACCAACCCAATATAAGTTTATCATTCATCCATGCTTAAAATATTGTTGCTACATATGGTCCAGTGCTCCTGATATTTACCTTGAGCTCCGTGATAAAATCCAAAGAAGAATTAGCAATATTATTGGTCCTGATCTGGCAGCTCGGATTCAGTCAATTTCTCACTGCCGTAGTGTTGCCGCCTTGTGTTTTTTCTATAAATATTTCCATAGTAATTGTTCGGATGAGCTATTCGTGATGGTACCTAGACTTTTCTTTATTCAAGTACTCAAGAGATCTCATCAATTTACAGTTAAGCTGACTAGAGGCAACCGTAAATTATATGTTAATAGTTTCTTTTCTCGCTCTTCGCACTTGTTGAATTGGCATCCTGCTCCATGCTTTCTAGATAACTTTCATCTTCAAAATTTTAAATGCAATCACTCTTTTTGTTCCCGCCTATTAGTAATCGTTCTGTTTCTAAGTCTTCCATATCCAGTAACCCCGTGTGTCTTAGTGGCTTCGCTAGCTTGCATGGGGTGAAACTGATTAAAAACAGACTCCCGAGAGTATGCTTCCTCGAACACTACAACGTTAATCTTTCTAAATCTAGGATTAACCGTTATCTCTTCTGCATAACCTCACAGACTGCAGTTTCCATCCTGTTCTTACACTTATACATCATCTCCACCTTGAGTAGCACTTGAGAATTTTATTAGGTAACAATTAGTAAGAATAAATTAACTGTCAGTTTATCAAGGCATGGAATATACATACTTAGTGATTTTTATCTCATGTATAGTGGGTTTCGACGGGTAGCTTAGATGTCGCACAAGGCCGAAAGTATGGAGTATTTAGTGAGGATCGAACTCACTACTCAGTCGTAATTGATCTATCAAAACAAGGTGGCTAAACATGACACCACGGCGAAGAATACACTTTTATCTTAAGTAGATTTAAATCTATCCTTGTTTTTTATTTCACCTTCGACGCATGCCCAAATATTTAGTTTAATTCAATTTATTAAAAGTTTTCAATTCCTGAACTTTCACTTTCACTTTCATTTATGATGATTGTTTCATTGTTTTTTTTTTCTTTCTTTCTTTTCTACTGCTTTCCCATTTACTCTTTCAATCCGGCTATATATATATTTTTTCTTTTTCTCTAACATTCTCCTTCGTTTCTAATAAAATATTATTTCATTTTGTTCATTGTTTTTCTCTCTTTCTTATTCTCGCAGGCATCTCTTTCTCTCATGCATTTCCTCGCTATTAATCTATCCTTCGTGCGTTCCGAGTCATCTCCTTCGTTCGTCATCGCGAATCGATTTTAGTGGCACTCATTTGAGATTCCTTTTGTGTAAAGTCTCTTGTACATATCTGCGTTTTCACTTAACAATTAGTCTTTCTTTCTTTCTTTCTTTCTTTCTTTCTTTCTTTCTTTCTTGCTTTCTCTGCTTCATTCCACCTCTCTTCCTCATATATTACTTGGTCCTCCTCTGCCTTCCACTCTGCCGTCTTTTGTTTGCATCATCTGACGAATGTTTATTCTATTACATAATAGCCCGAAATTTAAAAACATAATACCTCGACTATTTACCCCTTTCACAATACTCTGAAACTATTTTTAGATTTGAGATGAATTTTTTATTATTATTTTTTAACAATTTTCTTTAATATTAATAATTACTATTTACACTATATACATTGTTCAGGCTATTTTCCTCATCTAAGTTTGTCACATTCACGATGTTTCAGCCGTTGTACGCTCCGGCCATTTTCAGTTCCACGTGTCATAACTTTGCTTGCTATCTCAGTTTCAGTTACCTCCTTGGAGGTTTCAGTTCAAAATTTCAACATATATCACCTGAAGGCAGGAGCGTACAACGGCAAAAAAACGTCTTGAATATCACAATAAAGATGAGGACAAAAGTTCGAACAATGTAAATAGTGCAAATAGTAACAAAAACGTATGTAATAAAACTGCAATATCGTTCTTTTTGCATATCATTTCTTTAAGTTCTTATGTTTCATCGATTGGTATGCGAAATTGAACGGAACGTAAGTCAGTTATATGCTATGCGTGATACGCGCTTAGGCGACCTGGTGCCTTTGGATACATGACTGATGAGGCAGATTATTTTCCCGCAGTAGTTTACCATTTCTTTCTGCGGTAGATCAGTTGCCATCCAACCCGGTCTGTTCTGCTATTTAACAATAGGTGGTGGAGAAGAAATGATTCATAGCTTTCCCAAGAATGTATAGGAGGTAAATAGATTCGACTGGAATTCGAACTCGGCTCTCTGGTTCCTGAAACCGGGCCGCTATCCATCACTTCACCGTGAACGTAGCGTTTGCAAACCACCACAAAATATTAGCGATAACTCCAACATTACTAAATACTGTAAGGATTTCAGCAAGCTGATGTGTATTGCAAAACAATACTAGTAATAATATAATCATGATAATGACGACCCACACTACTTCAATCAAAATGTTTCCGAAGCAAGTTCCCATCACTAATGAAAAGAGAGATAATAGCTATTAACGTGAGAACCCTATTTTTTCTGATGTTTTAATCGAAAATTATTATCTATTTCAACCGACATTTGTACTGGCTACTCGATCAATGAAAGCCGAATATTTCCTTATAAAGAAACAGCTAATATTCTCTTTGTCATTACAATTACCCCCCTCTGCAGGAGTTGTTATCGGTGTATTGTCCCAAGAGAGCCTTTATCCTTAATAGGCAAAATAAATATGACTTTCGCTAAGTAGGTTTCGCTTCAGAATTACGACTCGTGAATTTGGTTCAAATCGAAAGCCACGACTTATTTTAATTTTCTAATGTATAATTTAATGATCGAAATATGAATTGGCCTACAATTCCTACTCAGAGAGTTAAAAAAAGAAATAATTCACAATATGTCTAGGCCACCTTTTTCTCTCTTCTGTTCTAAGAGTTATTTTTTTAAGAAACAGTTTACTTTCTATTATTTTTTTTGTTATCTACTCTCCTTTTACCCGTCATCTCCCTTTATTATACACCCTTGTGCAAATTAATTGAAACTAAAATAAATAATTCCGTTATTATTTAAGTTTTTTGTATTTTTCTAAAGAAACATGTGCACATGTTAGTACTTTGAATGTCCATTCCAAGAAGTCGTTCATTGCAGATTGACCACAGATTCTCGATATGATTTTAATCAGGAGTGTTTCCAGGTCAATCTATAGTACTTTGATTTGCTCACTGGTTAGAGCTGACAGTGTTTCGTGCAGTATTACAATTTTTGTACGCTTCTTGGAGTAACGTCCATCTCAGACAATGGCCGTAGGACAACTAATCGACAATCGAGACAATAGTGTCTGGGCGTGATAAAAATCTGATGCAATCACGGATGATGCAATATTTTTCTGAGGAAGAAATATAAATCGATTGCAACCTGTCATTCCAGTAGATCTAATTCTAAACGTATGGTGAAAGAAAGGAGACTAAAGCTGTTGTTTCAATTAATTTGCACAAGAGTGTATGTTGATTTCTTTTGCTTGCAATATATTCTGTATATACCTCATCTGTTTTTTTTTTTTGCTGCAATTCATTTGGCATTCTTCATCTTAGAATAGTCGTTCGTTTTGCACGTCATTATTTCTTTACACTCTTCGGATATCTTTTCCACTCTCCATCTTTCTTCACTTTGGTCATCATATTAGCTTCCTTTCTCAAGCACGTTTTCCTTCTCTTTCTATTCTTTAGGCTTCTGCCTTCATTATTTCTCTTATAATCATTTCTTATCCTTCTATGATTTCTTCTTTCCCGCTCATCATTGTTTCCGATTTCTTTTTCGTCTTTTAATTTTGTCCGTCTCTTCTGTCTCTCTTTATCTTTATTGCTCTTCCTGTTTTATTCTTCTGATTTTATCTCTTCTTCTTCTTCTTCTTCTTCTTCTTCTTCTTCTTCTTCTTCTTTTTCTTCGTTCCACATTATTTCTTCTCTCTTTCTCTTCCTTCTTTTTTCTCTTCTAATCCTATCTGTTACTTTTTGTTACTTTTTATTTTATTGATCTTTCTCTTCTTTTTTCCTTCTCTTTTTCTTTCTTCTTCTTCTTCTTCTTCATTCCTCTTTATTCCTTCACATTCTTTCTTTTTTTTCTCTCCTTAAATCCTGTCATTTACTTCAGCTTCTATTTATCTTTAGTGTTCTTTCTCTTCTCTTCTAATCCTCATTTTCTATTTTCTTGTTTTTCTTGTTCTTCATTCCTTTTTACTTATTCATTGTTCTATCATTCTTTCCTTTCTCTCTCCTTTAATCTCGTCTGTTAAATGAGACTCTCTTTAATCTTTAGTTTTGTTGTTGTTCTTCTTCTTCTTCTTGTTCTTCTTGTTTTTGTTCTTCTTCTTCTTCTTCTTTATTTATGCTCTTTTTCTTCTTTTACTTTTCTCTTTTAACCCCGTCTATTACTTCATTGTCCTCTCTTTTTTTTTACTTTTTTCTTCTCTTTGTCTTCTTTTCTGCTTCACATTTAAACCCGTATTTTACAACTGCCTCTTTTTCATCTTAACTGTTCAGTTTTTCTTTTCCTTTGCTGTCATTGTCATTGTTCATCAGTCTTTCTCCCTTTCTTTTCTTTCCTGTTAATTCAGCGTCTCCTTATCCTTTTTACTATGCTTTATTTTTATCTTCTTTTCAAAACATCGAAACACTTCCCTCTTCTTCTTCTTCTTCTTCTTCTTCTTCTTCTTCTTCCCTGCTATGCGCTTTTCATTCATTCTTCGTCACATTTTTTTCTCCTAAATGTCAGCCTCACCCCATTTTTCCAAAGATTCCACCATCTGCACCATATCTACTCCAGCCATCTACTCAATTCATTCGTTTGTCATGCTGCCTTCTTTTTCTTCATTTTCCATTTTCTTTTCCTACATATGTATCTCTCTCACTTTATTCCTATCTCCCTCTGACTCATCCTCCTCCTTCCTTTAACCCCCTCCTCCAAAACCATTTGCAGCGAGACCCGATGAATGATTGCGTTAAATATTCCTTTGCCCCCTATTACTCTGCAACCCAATAATCGTCCTTCCAACAACCTTCTAACGCCATCTTACCTTGCGTATTTTAGTTTAACAAACCTACAATTCAAGAAGGGAGGTAAGGGGACGTAACTCTGACCTGTCTCTTGTCAGGGCATATAGGACATAACGTCTGAGACAGTGCCACTGGGGAAAAAATGACAACGGCACCGGGTTACATCAGCAAGGCCATTAAAGCCGACGGCTGAGCGGATATTGGGTAAGAGGCAGGAGTTAGATAGTGCGGAGGCCAGAGTAACGGCGCTGGTAAGTTATTTGGGAGAAGCATACAGAGTGCTCCGATGGTGAGTCGGGGAAAAGGAATGTGTTGGCTTTGACTGCATTTATTATTGTCTGAACTGACAGGTCGGGAGGTGGCATTACAATACACACACCCGCTGGTATGCAAGCGTAGGCAAATGTTGAGGGGCTGGTCTAACAGAAGAGAAATTCAGGTTAGTAATATTGCTGATACTCTAAAGGAAATCTTTTCGGCGTGTGTAGAGAAATCAATAAAATATTCCCTTTATTACGAAATGGAACGTAGTAAATATGGACATTTATTTTGCATTTTAAAAATTGTGTGATTTTTAAGATGAGGAAGATGAATAAATACTTTAGAAAAATTATCTTTCTGCAGTATTTAAGATTTGCTTCCTGATTGATCATTTATTTTGTATTTTAAACGTTGTGTGATTTAAAAAGAGGGAGACAAGGAAATACTTTAGAAAAATTATCTTTCTGTAGTACATAAGATTGGCTTATTATTTGTTCATTTATTTTTGCTCAGTAAATTCTATATTTGTCTGATGGGGATTTGACCTATGTCTTCATATCGTGCGGAGTAATTACAAAGACGGCATCTTTTTCTAATCAATTCACACCAAGTAAGGCAATAAAACCACTATTACTTGTCCTGGGTATGACGATAAACTACATCCGCGTCCTGGGTAAGACGATAAACTACCTCCAAAAGCAAGGCCTCTGATCATGAGGTTTTGACTAGCGTTGAACCACCTCTTAATTGCTGGTGTTCCCAGGTCCATCCTGACGCGGGGTGGTAGCACCTGTTAGTGTCCCAGCTATGGGTAAATAGTTATTCCCAAACTAGGGTCAAAACACTATGAAAGTGAAAAAAAAATAGGATTTAATACCAGAAATACTTTGTAAAAAGTTATTACCAGCAATAATGTTTTGAAGAAAAAATATTACCCGGATATAAGAGAAGCCCGGCTATAAGAATGATTTTCTCCGGTCCCAAATTAGAGCCTGTGTTAATGTATATAAAATACACCAAACCCTGATATAAGAGAAACCCGGATATAAGAGAGATTTTCTCTGGTCCCAAATTAGAGCCTGTGTTAATGTATATACAATAGACCAAACCCGGATATAAGAGGAACCCGGATATAAGAGAGATTTTCTCTGGTCCCAAATTAGAGCCTGTGTTAATGTATATACAATAGACCAAACCCGGATATAAGAGGAAACCGGATATAAGAGAGATTTTCTGGTCCCAAATTAGAGCCTGTGTTAAATGTATATACAATAGACCAAACCCGGATATAAGAGGAACCCGGATATAAGAGAGATTTTCTCTGGTCCCAAATTAGAGCCTGTGTTAATGTATATACAATAGACCAAACCCGGATATAAGAGGAAACCGGATATAAGAGAGATTTTCTCTGGTCCCAAATTAGAGCCTGTGTTAATGTATATACAATAGACCAAACCCGGATATAAGAGGAACCCGGATATAAGAGATTTTCTCTGGTCCCAAATTAGAGCCTGTGTTAATGTATATACAATAGACCAAACCCGGATATAAGAGGAAACCGGATATAAGAGAGATTTTCTCTGGTCCCAAATTAGAGCCTGTGTTAATGTATATACAATAGACCAAACCCGGATATAAGAGGAACCCGGATATAAGAGAGATTTTCTCTGGTCCCAAATTAGAGCCTGTGTTAATGTATATACAATAGACCAAACCCGGATATAAGAGGAACCCGGATATAAGAGAGATTTTCTCTGGTCCCAAATTAGAGCCTGTGTTAATGTATATACAATAGACCAAACCCGGATATAAGAGGAAACCGGATATAAGAGAGATTTTCTCTGGTCCCAAATTAGAGCCTGTGTTAATGTATATACAATAGACCAAACCCGGATATAAGAGGAACCCGGATATAAGAGAGATTTTCTCTGGTCCCAAATTAGAGCCTGTGTTAATGTATATACAATAGACCAAACCCGGATATAAGAGGAACCCGGATATAAGAGAGATTTTCTCTGGTCCCAAATTAGAGCCTGTGTTAATGTATATACAATAGACCAAACCCGGATATAAGAGGAAACCGGATATAAGAGAGATTTTCTCTGGTCCCAAATTAGAGCCTGTGTTAATGTATATACAATAGACCAAACCCGGATATAAGAGGAACCCGGATATAAGAGAGATTTTCTCTGGTCCCAAATTAGAGCCTGTGTTAATGTATATACAATAGACCAAACCCGGATATAAGAGGAAACCGGATATAAGAGAGATTTTCTCTGGTCCCAAATTAGAGCCTGTGTTAATGTATATACAATAGACCAAACCCGGATATAAGAGGAACCCGGATATAAGAGAGAGATTTTCTCTGGTCCCAAATTAGAGCCTGTGTTAATGTATATACAATAGACCAAACCCGGATATAAGAGGAACCCGGATATAAGAGAGATTTTCTCTGGTCCCAAATTAGAGCCTGTGTTAATGTATATATATTAGACCAAACCCGGATATAAGAGAAACCCGGATATAAGAGACAATTTATTACAAGAAATATTTTTTTTAAAAGAAAAAAAAAGTACCAGCTATACATTTAAAAATTTTTTACCAGCAATAAAGATCTTGTCGGCATTAAAGAATTCATTGAGGTTGATATGCCGTAAAGCAAACGAAACGAAACGAAACGAAACCAAACTGCTATGGCGTAAGAGGAGGGGGCGACTGGATGTGAAAGAGAAGGAAAATATTTTAGAAAGAAACGAAAAATCAATAATAGTATAAATTTCAGAGAATATGCAGAGACATTAGAAGTATAGATTTCAAGTAGAATTTCGGAAGAACCAGAAGACTAATACTAAACAGGAATCAAGTTGTAAACCTCTACTCCTGTTCATGGAGGAGTGTGAAGAGGAGTATAGGGGAACTTGTCTATACGTATTGTGAAATTAAAAAAATATCAGAGTTGAGGTGGAGACTTGAGAAGTATAAGACTTAAATGTACTTTAGAAGGAATCGAAAACACAATACTGAACAGAAAAAAAAAGGGATAAAATTCTAAGCCTCTTCGAAAGGCCGGGGAGGATAGTGAAGAGTGTTAACGCTTATCTTAAAAAGGAATTCTCTCAGAATTAGCATGGCATCCGATGTTTCGTAATACACAATCTTTCTTATTGCTAATATATAACCATATAAAGAGATGATTTAATTTTTCATTTATATATATATATATATATATATATATATATATATATATATATATATATATATATATATATATATATTTCACATATATATATATATATATATATATATATATATATATATATATATATATATATATATATATATATACGTAGGAAATTTCCGAATGTTCTGTATTTGCGGGCGCTTTCGGCTATTCTTATAGTTATTATCAAGGATGATTTTATTTTTATTTTTATTTAAAGTATGGATTTTTATGTATGTTTCTAGAGTCATGGAGGTATTTTTGCTTTCCAAACATCGTCAACACATTTAAAAATTCAACACTCAATAGCACCAACTATGAACATGGCCAAACGATATAATTATAGATACATACATTAAAATATACACCCAGGGAACACGACCATAATGTTCTAACCTAGTTCGAAAAATAAAAAAAGAATCATTCATATAACTGTGGAATCCTACATAAAAAAAATTCATTCATACATTTTACTCATGTGCAGAAAACAATTAAATTACGGGCACAAGAAAATTAAATAAATCTTAATCGCAGTACCTGTCAATAATCATTTACATATATATATATATATATATATATATATATATATATATATATATATATATATATATATGAAGAAAATATAGTCTGAAGGTGTGCTATATTTATGGGATAAAGTGCTCAATACCATAGATAGAGCGTGTGTAAATATAAAAGTGAACATTGAAGACTGTCGGCTCTGAGTGTTGACTTCAATGTTCACTTATATATATATATATATATATATATATATATATATATATATAAGTAACATATAAAATGTTAGAATTAATCCACAAAGAGCTCAATGTGTCTATTATTATATAGCGTCTGCCGAAATAAGCTATTTCCCATATGAGATGATTTTGTATTTTATTGTATATATATATATATGTGAATGTGTGTGTGTGTTTGCATGTGTGTGTGTGTGATTAAAACAGCACCACGTAGACACTAATTTCTTAAGTATATATCTGCCTGTGTGATCATGCAAGTAAATGGAATTTGCTGTCAGAATAAAGATATCTTTAAATCGATGCTAACAGGGTTTTCTTTCAAGTGTTTCCTGAACGGCCTCTACTCACGCTACCAGTAATTATACTGACAACAAGCACTGGATTCGATGGTCAAGAAGAAAGCTGGTGATTCTATATTCTAAAGACGTACACAATATAAGAAAGACACGCTATTAAATTATACATAACAACAGTTAATTGATTGAAGTCTATTGAAAAACAGTAAGTTCTATAGAAGACGCTTTTAATTTCTTAAAATTGATATTTTTACATCGGCAATTATCACTTTACAGTTATTAACTACTGTGGAAAAAAGGAGATATATTTTTTCTCTTTAATTAATCTTGTCTTATCGGTATTTTCAAAATATTGCGTTGTTTATTTAATTATTTATAATTTTGCCCATTTCCTTGGGAAATAAATTTCCTTTATATTAATTACCGTCGATCATCTGAATATAATGTTAATTAC